TCCTCCTTTCACCCACTTCCATAGAACCATTCCCAATACACCTCCTACACCAACCATCACCCCGTATTAAGTGCTGTGAGAAATCACCCACTAGCCAACCTCGTCAATCCTCTGCTCCTACATCATTGACTGAATTTACTTGACACTCAGCACTTTCACATGCATTTGCAGTTGCATTTGTCATGAAAGCAGGAATTGGAGGTGACAGCATCTATTGATTAACAATAGTGTTCAGGACAGGGGGTAGAGGAGGTCGGTGCACTGCACAAAGCCAGATTGATGAGAGGAAATCCGAAATAAAAACATTCTAGTGTGTGTGTGGGTGGGGGGAGAGATGAGGTCGAGAGGACGAGAGGGAGGGGATGGAGGGCAATTGGTGCAATGCTACGGCAGACATCTCTGAGTGGCAGAGTAGCTTGTCTATGATGTAATACTTTGCTAATGTGAACATCTGACGGTCGGCGGTCACTTTAGTATTTGTCTGACATTTGTACTCGTGGGCTGATCTTCGGACCACGCTCAGGCCCATTTGCTCTATCTTCTTTGGAATACATAAATCCAGTTACATTTACTTGGAATACTACATGGAAACAGAAAAGTTCGCTAATTGCTAAACAAAAGCAACAGAGATTCTCAGGATTCTCCGTATGTGTCTGACAGTCGGATCGCAGAATTATATTAAACGTGGTGGACCTCGAGGCCATTGTCGTTTATTCTAATGCTTGCGTGGCTCACAATAATTTTCGTGCTCAAATTGGCATTAGCTAGATGGGTTGTGTTGACAGGACTTCGGACCATGTCAAACTTTACCGGATTTCCTTTCTCCTTAAACGCCAGTAATTACCTTGCTTGACGCTCTATTTTAACCATAAGAAAGCCTCGGGACGTTACATAATGTCTGTATCCAGACATAAGTTGCATTTTGGGATCTGATGTGCTCTGAATGTCAACTCACGCGAAAGAAGCAAGATGGACACCAACATAGCTCAACTTTGTAAACACCAATGATGGACAAAGTGTTGCGCACACATTGAAGCCATATGCAATACTTCGCAGGCATTATTTCCCATCATGCCAATCGCCCAAATATCCAAATTCTAAGCCTAAAATTTGGCATAAAACAAAGCTTGTGGTAATATTCAAAGTAGCTTTTTATTATACAATATTATAACTATTTATATTTAACTAAAGTAAGCCTTTCAAATGCCGAAAGAATGTTTATCTTTATCAACAATGAACTTTGAACAGTACGCACAATTTCGGATGCAATTTCGACCTGAAGATGGAAAACAGGAGCTGGGGTGTCGAATTATGGGTGTGTTCTAAGATTTTGACATGTTTACGCACAAATTATGTACTTCTTTGAATCTTTATTAATTAACTCGTCAGTACTGGTTTTGCGTTAGTGAACTTTAATCTCACAAATATTCAGATTTCGTAGCAATACTTTATTCATTTTCCCCCTGTTCCTGATATTAAGTTGTAACTTTTCAGCCACGCTTGTGGTTTGTATTGTATGTTGTGAGTGAAGAACTATTCCGCAATTTATTTTGATGTACGGGATGCATAAGTGCTTGTCACTGAAAGTCGTTTCTGTTACACCATTCGCTTTTTCCTTTTCACTTTAATAATAATGTGTTCGAACTTTACATTCAGGACCAGATGGATTTTTTGCTCCAATTCGAAAATGATCAGCTTGCCTTGCATGATCATCATTTTCGACTCCTTTGTGAAATCCAGAAGTTGGTGGCTGATTTTGGGAAAAAATATCGAAAAACCGTATCTAGTTTTGTTCCCAAAAAGAAGGTAAATTCTTCAATGGAATCAGAGCTTACCTACAATACGGTTCTCACCGACACTCTAGCTCCCTTCCTCGAGATGGGAATGGCGTTTGAAAATTATGGAGCAGAGTTGCAAAAATCTGTGATTTTGCCCCTTAAGGCGGAGTATGATAGGGAACGCAAAGTGGCTGACAAAGTTACCACTGACTATACGAAATACAACACTCAAAGAGAAAGAGAAAAAAGACGTCTCGAGGATACGTGGAGGGCCCATGTGAATGCACTTAAGGAAAAACAAAAGGCGGAAACTATGAACACTCAAGCCCAAGGAGATCCTAACATTACTCCTGAAGAGAGGGAAAAGGTTCGTCTGACGTAATTAGGAGTCGATATTTTCATAGTAATTGGCTTTGCTACCTTAATCTCTTCCTTCTTGTATTCCATAACTGTGTGTAAC